TTAAATATTTAAAATATGAGGTACTAAATAGGAAAAAAAAAAAAAGCTAACCTAATGTGAGTTTTCTTTGTAACAGATTTTGTTGATAGTTATTAAAATGAAAGTCCAAGGAAGTGCTGCAAATGTCATACAAAGGCCCTTGGAGCAGGGAAGACTTAAGGAAGCGAAACCCTTTTTGTCTTGGTATCGCTGGATGCACTGCAGAATCATACTCTACATAACCTTTTAAATGGTTATTAAAGGCATTTCATCACCCCCTTAAGTGCCCTCAATAAAGAAAGAAGCACAGTCTGCTCTGGAAGGTCTTCATCCTGCAGAGACCAAGGGTTTGAAGGGTTTGAAGAAACGTCTCCATCTAGACACAATGATTTATATGTTCAAGCCCAGTTTTTAAACTATCTTTTTTTTTTTTCTTCTATTCATAATTTTTTTTTAATGTGTCCATATTTAAGTGCAAGTCCTTTTTTTGGGTGAGAGGCCTTTCTTCTATCCTCAAAAACTATGAGATTGTAAAACTATGAGATTGTTCTGCAGACACCAGAACTGAATGGTTCCACGGCATATTACAATCAGCCTGCAAGTTGGACAAAGTCAGTATCAGAATAGATGCTGTAAGTTTAGCTCAGAAAGTCTAAGGAATCTCATGGTTTTGTTATAACACTATGATAGAAAGTGCTAGCAGAAATGTTACTCATATTTCTGTCTCACACTCTCTATGTGATTTCCAAAATCCTCATTATATATATGTATTCATTATAAATATGTATTCAGCATCAAGACTTGTATGAAAAAAGAAAAACCATTAACACATTTTAATAATAAGCCACCAATAATAGTATTAAAGTTCCCAAGGAATGACACACAATACAGTGATTTTTTTTCCTTTGTGCTAAAGCACTGAGCAGAGAATAATGTACTACTGAGCAGTAAGTAATAGGAATGATAAAAGTCTGCAGAGTTGTTGTCACTTTATACTGACAGTGATTGAGTGGTGGTTTCAAATAGCAGGTGTAATATTTTAAACACAGGTAGTAGCGATGTGCATTGAGTACACAGGCTCCAAATACAAAGACACCTTCACTTTGAAATTGCCTAAAATCTAAAAAGCAATGAGAAATTTTTAAACTGAGCAGCTCTTTTCTGCAGAAAAAGACAGTCTGAAGTACATGAAAGGAGATTAAATCCATTCAGAAAAGTTATCTGAAAGGTGTAGGGTCTCTGCAAAATCTTTTTCCTGTGACAGAGGCACCATTGGCTTCCTCTTGGGAAGGAAACACTTTGCAGTCCAGGGCAGAAAAAGTGAGAGCTGTGATGTGAAAAGCATTGAATCAAATAGACCTGTGACTGATGATTCTTAAGGCACATCTAAAGTCTTTTATTTATCTCCCATGAAATGGAGACAACTGGTTGTGCACAGGTGATTGAGAAGCTACATACATCACCCTAGAAAAATCCCATTTATTTGCTCCCCTGGGGGAATGGAAAAAGAGTAAAGCTGCATAGAGGCAGGGGTTTACAGGGATTTAGGACTTTAAAATGAGGGTGGTTTTAATGAAAAAGCATTATGTCTGCATATTCATGTGCTTTTATGTAAGCATTTGCTATAGAACCATTTATATGGCATAAGAATACTAATTTTCAATCATAATTCCTTAGATTGTTATACCTCTAAGACAGAGGTCTTTCTCAAACTGTCATTTTTCTACTTTTTTGTTTTGCCAGCAGCCCATCTCATTGGTGTGCTGTGTGTGGAAGGAGGCCAACAATAAACATTGATAATACACCTAAGTATATAGAATTGCTGGAAAGGCTCACAGTTAAATTTCAATTTTTATGTGCTGCTGCAAGTAAGGAAATATCCCACTGAAATGTTTCCCATGTTGAAACCTTGCCTCCAGCTTTAATGAATATGGAAAGCCCTAACCAACTTAAGAGGGGATTAAAAGAGTTACTGAGCATAGTTTTTTGTCAACCCAGAAACTTCGTTGTGTTTTTGTCACAACAAGGGGAGTTCATATATTCCCCCAAAATTCACTGACCCCAAGGGTGATGTGAAGTCTCACCTTGCTTGCCCTGTAGCAAAGGACACGATAAGGAGCTCCTAGAAGCCATTTAGGGACTAGCTGGGGACTGTCCTCTTTTTATAAACAGCAATAAACCAGCAGTAATGTAACCAATGAATTCACATCATGAATCCACATTTACAAATTTGCATTAATGTGGGATAATGTCAGTGAGAAGCAGCAGAGGCACTAGGTCACTTAAGGTTATGTATACCCTTGGGGCTACCCAATTTTATGTATTTCTATCAGCCCTGAGAAGGTCTCTGGGATTTCTTCTGATAATAGTCCCAACCAATTCCATCCTATAAATCATTTTACATAAAACTCTGAGCTAGGCTTGACGTTCTTGTTTATGTTCAAGCAAGTACAGCAGAGGAGCTTAATGTCTAATGAAGGAAAGGAGTGTCTGAATCCTCCAGTTAGAGCTAGAAAATGCCTCACTGAATCTTACTTTCTCACACATTTAGTGTCTAGGAGTTTGTCTCATGAGGGGAGGATGGTTTGTACTAAAGTGGCTGTCATTTGAAAGTTATGTACGATTAGGAGCAATAGAAGGTAATAAGTCTGACAGAGTTCCCTGCCAAAGATTTTGATTTATCTCATTCTCACTACCCACTTGCAGTTTATGTCATGTTTTCCTGAGTTTCCTCATATTCCAGTTTTTCCCTGTCAATGTGTTATATCTTCAGACTCCTCTTAGCTACAGGAATGATACCAGCAATGAGAATAAAAATTATTCAGCAGAATAAATGCTTCACTATGAGCACTTGGACTAACATCCAGATAAAAGCTGTGGTGGATGTTCCTCAGTGTGTTTTTTTATTTAACATTTTGGCTCAGATGGTTGCTTAGTTATCCAAATCCAAATTTTCACCCTATCCTGCAGGACTGCAAAATAATCTTTCTTCAGAAAGTCTTGCTGAGCACTGCCTTCCAAACCTTTTGGACTGGGCTTTGCAATAATTGAAAAACAGTGTACAGCTTAGCTGATAGCCAAAACTGCAGGTGAAGCTTCCAAAGCCCTCACCCAGATTTGCAGAGTCAGGGATCTGGATTTACATAAGGACAGCTTTGGGACTTCACCTTTCCCTTTTCTAACTAACCCCTGCTTTCATTATACTTTGCATGGGGATTCATCCCCTGTTTTATTGATAAATTTTGATAAGCTTCTTAGGTTGATTAGAAACAAAAGGTGATGGTAGTCTAGGGAATCTTGACTGTTTGCTTTGTGAATCTCTGCTTTGAAAGCCATGTAGGCAGTGGTTGGGCTTAGCAAATGCAGAAGCTATAAAACCTTAATTGCTCCTTCCAACACTTAAAAAAAAATAGCTCATCTTACTATTGTGATCTTTGCAACAAATTATATTCGTGGTATAAGTGAAAAACATACTTTGAAAGAGTATTTCCCTTTACTTATTTTCATCTTCAGAAAGATGTTCAGGTGCATTCCCAAAATATAATCAGAATATACATTAAAAGAATTCTTTGAAGGTTTTTTTGTCCAGCCCCTGCTCAAAGTACAGCCAGCTTCAATGGCAGAGCAGGTTGTACAGAGGTATTAGCAGCTGAAATTTGAAAAACTCGAAGAATAGAGATACCCAGATTCTCTGGGCAATCTGTTCTTGCATTGAATCCCCCTCATGGTGAATTTTTTCTATCCAGTTGAAATTTCCTTGCAACTTGTGACTGCCACCACTTCTCTCCATCACACCCCTCTGTGAAGAGTCTAAATTTTCACATTCTCCCCTCTGGGGAGGGGAGGATAGCAATTAAATCTCCCTTTGTCTTCTCCAGAGGAAGCAAACCCAGCTGTCCCAGTCTGTAATCCTACATCATGTGCTCCAATCTCTGCTCTCTGTCATCCTCACAACACTTACCACAAGTGATACAGTAGGTAAATGATCATCACAACATTTATCACATGTGATACAATAAGTAACACAAATCAAATTGGTTTTGCATTCCAGTTGGAGTAAGATATAGCAGTAATGGTTTTTTGCAGTGTTTTCATGTAAATTTGAGTAGAAAATAACAGATACTGGAACTGGGCATGAAAACAAAAGGAAGGAGCAGGGTTTTCACTGTGTCCCACTAGCCTTTAAGTCCCCATACCTGCACTATTACTGAGGAGCCATAAACATAATGTGGCACTGTAGATCCATTGCACCTTGCATTTTTCAGTACCCTAAACATAGCAGTGGAGGAAGTAGAGCACTGACTCCAGCTCAGTGAGAGATATGGCAAGATGAGCCCAGTGGGATCCACTCCCTCAAAAAGACACCATCCAGCCTCTCAGGAGACTGCATGTCCTAGGGCTGAGATGTCCTATGACTAATGGAAATCACTTACTGGTCTTAGCAGAGCTGCACAAGTTGCTTGCTGTTTCCAGAAATGGTGCCTTATTTAAAAGACCAGGTCTGATTCATCACTTTGTTATAGAGGTTTAATAGGGTGATGAATCACATTTGTCATTTTCAAAAACTTACAAGCATTGGTAGAACTTGTCTCAATTCATAAACTTTAAGATATATGTTAGGATAGGATTTTACTTTTAAATTTAAAAAGAGAATAACACCCAATAATCATCATTAAGGGTGTAATAACAAAACAATAATTTTCTGGAAACATTGTATATCAAGATAATGCAAACTTGTAACATTACTGATTTATATTTTCATCTTGAGATTCATATAGCCTGACATTTTTTGCCATTTTTAAGTGTTATTGCAATAAAAAACATTATTTCAAGACATTAATTCCTGCAATATTTCATTTCTGGAGGGTTTTTTTTCCTAACTGTTTGGTATAATGTTCAAAATCCATGTCCTTTTCTTTTTTTTAATCCAAATCTTGTTAATTTTTCTTCTTCCTCAGTTTCTTCATCTGTTTTATCTTGTCCAGCCTGCAAGCAGAAAAGAGTGAGAGGAGCAGGAAAAAGTTTAAGGGACAAAGAGAAAAAGAGTGCATCCACTTTAATTCTCCATTCAGGTATAAAAATAATCTGCAAGTATTTTCAATTCTGTTATGGAAAATATTTCAACCAGCTCTAGAAGTTTAGGTAAAAATTGCCTAAGGTAATTCTGTCACAAACAGAAGACAGATATCCTCATCTTCCCTAAGTGTGATGTTTGGCAAATAAAAAGAAAAGTTGTGGCAGATTAAAGTGACATATCCTTTCACAATTCTTGCTGTAGTGTATTAGCTGAAGGAGAACTGCTTGATGGGGTTTTTTTTCCTTTTTCTTTTCTGATCTTTCTCCCTTATTTAAAAGGAATAAAAAGAACTGTGCTGGAAACTCTTTCACAATCTCATAAAATACCTCTGCATGATACTGCACATTTTCTTCTCCATTCTCTAAGTTGTTATGGTATATTTTATACAGGAAAGCCTTGGGAAATGTAAACCATGATTGCAATATATGTCCTCTTGTTCTTGAAAGGTGCTGTATTTAAGCAAGACTCATGCCACGATCCCTGAGACCTATTTCTAATCCTGTCAATATCTCATTTTATGACCTTGGGCAAAACTTCTCTCTGCCCCTCAGGCTACTCGTCTGTTTTCCAGGAACAGAAATCTGAGATACTTTAGGGCATTATGATGTTTAATCAATATCTGTAGATTCCTCAGAGATGCCCAAAGGAAATTTGTCATCAAAATGGACAGTTCATACCAGTGTACATATACCCCATCAACCAAAACCTTCTGGAAGGCTTATCTTGCGGCAGGGAGTAGAGATCATAAGCTATATATTTGTTTCATTTACTGTCATCTGCCTACTGCCAGATGCATGCACGAGTAGAGAAAATCTCTGCACAATTTTTCCCGTTCATTTGTTTTTTGTAAGCAAATGCAAACAGTGAAGAAAGCATGCTCAGACTCTGACTCTCGGGGCACCACTGGGCTGCTCTCTTTGCCAAAGCTGAGGTTTTCTGGTTGTTTGCTGAGCTGCCATCAACCCAAGATAGAGATTTGTCTTCTCTCTCACTGGTTTTATACAGGACAGCAGTACGAGGAAACAGAAACTTCAGACCAGGATGCCCTCACTGTGGATGGGATCCCACTGTGAGTGCAAGGTAAAGGAGAGGAGAAGAAGCAGAAGAAATTCATCCAGCTGATGGATATTTTATGCTCTGAGTGCATTATAATGAACCAGTCACTACCTAGGCCAGTGGGGTGGCCAACAGGCGTTTTTCAAGCTTTTTTAAGGTGACCATCCATAGGTACTGCTGTTGAACATGCACTGAAAATATATATTTATTTATTGATAAACTTCATATGGTAATACTGCTACCCAAAAAAAGGCTTATTCAGGATCACATACATAGTTGGCATCTGTGTTTATGGTTCTCTGTTTCTTGCAATAATGTGCATTAAATTTATCAATATCTTAACACTGGGTCAGAAGAAATAGATATTTGGATGGGAAATTGTTATATAACACTTTAGCTTGAAGAGATTTTTCCAGATGTGAGATGCTGGTAACTCACCATAATTAAATGGGAAGTCTATGATTTTCTTGGATTTTTCACAGGTGTGCATCATGTACAGAAGATAGCCATTTCCTAGCTCAAGGCTTTTATAGATTCCTCTAATTAGGTCAATGTAATAAAACAGCTAACTAAAACATGTTTTGAGAAATATAGAATATGTATATATTGATCAACAGGTATTCATCTCCTGGCAGAAGTTTGTGGTTATATGATTAGATGCTATGTTAGGTGCCAAATGTAGATACTTTTTCTTTTTTTCCTTTTTTATTGCAAACACTCCAAAATAGGCCCAGCTAAACCAAAAGTGCAAAACCCAGAAATTATTGCCACCTACTGTTGTTTTCCTTCACAAAACATTACTGAAGCATAGTTTACATCATGTCAGAACTTGTTAGGACAGGTATCTGAGAGCTGGAAGTCTTCTGATCTAGATGAATTTTCAGTCCTCTTTCCTGAAGTGTCTGCCTGCAAAAAGGAGTGCCACAGACAGGGATGACTGCTGAGCTTTCTGCAGGGGCATTGTGAAGATCACAACTGCTCTGTTGTACATCCTGCTTCCTCTGAAATCCTCATTCTACATCTGCAGCCTGTAAAAACCTCTTCCAGTTTCACATTGCCAGCCTCCATTCTCCTCCAGACACAGAAGCTGCCTTTATCCCTGTTTTATAATTACATGCTCATACAGGGTTGTGAATTGTTTTCTTTGGGATTAACATTCCTGTGCCAGTCCCCCAGGCTGTCATTCACTTCCTGGGATTAATACTGTCCAACCTTCTTCAGCACTGATAACTGCTCCATCCTTTGCCTTGTTGCCACCTGCTCCTTCAGTTGTTGATAAGGTTAATTCAGTTATACACCCAAGCCAGCCTACAGATGGAAATCTTTCCCAGAAAAAGGAGCTGCAAGAGGTGCAAAATCTCCTGAAACACTGATATAGGCCACCCCTTACAGGCAAAGACTGTCATTTCAATCAAACAAAGAAAATCTGAAAGTATTTTCAATGAAAATAGTTAAGTTTTAGTTTAGAGAGTCAAGTTAAGAGCTGAGAAAACCTGTGGCAGCCTGATGTTTAATTTCTGCTGCTTTTAAAAAATATGCTTGACAGAATATTTCAGATCTAAAGTATTTTATTGCAAAAATATAAGTATTTATGCAGTATACTCCTAAGCTGCTCTGTCTGTTTCAGCCATCCCTCATCCAGGTTGAGATGCAGGTTGGAATGTGAATCTTTGTTCAAATAAATTACGTCAATAAAATAATGTACATAGCTGTTAACTGAATAGTGATTTCAGCTGCTGTCTGATGATCACACATGACTTACTTTTTTCAGTAGTTCAGGTGATATTTGGTTGGGTTAATAATGTACTTCATGAAGGTGTTTTAATTATCCAGCTCTCCTGAAGTCAGTAAAATTCAAATGGGAGAGGTTTTTTAAGATGAAGAGATAAAGCAAAAACATATAAATGGAGGACCTAGGGTTTTATCTGAAGAAAACATCAATTGCTGAGCACAAAGTCTTTAATCTTAAAGATTACAAGTCAATTCAAGCCATTATTTAATTTTTACTCACAGCATAATAAATACTGCTCATTTCTTAAAGGGAACAATTACTTCCTTCCCTTTCTTTCTGAGGGTCACACTACAGTGACATGTGTACATCACATATTTCCTTCATCTCTGCGTCCTCTGCAGAAGCACAGTGAGTGGAAAAGGGGCAAGAAAATCAGAAAGAGGGGCTCTTCTGGCAGAGGGACGTGCAAATGAGCAAGAAGAAAGGCAATGAATGGGGAAAGAGAAGAAAGAGTAGATGAAAGCAGTGAATAGACTAAATAGCCAGACTTGTGGTACCTGGCAAGTTGCTAACAAGAGGACAGTGTTGCCTTTCGTATATAGGATCTTTGATGTGGGATTTGAAAAAGCTGGAGCTCCTGCCCCAGTACATCTCCCAAGAATTGCTATTTTTCTCAACTTAATATGGATGTTTTTAGCCTGCTGCTTGCAATGGCCAAGCACTTCATCTCACTGGACCCATCTGCTCTGAAGACCCTCCCTCATCATCTCTTTTCCCTTCCTCTGAAGTCTGCTCACATGATAGTGGAACTTGGGATAATAGCCACAGCCAGGTGCTGTCAAGTGCACTCCATAAAAACAGGAAGGGTCTTGGTGTCAGAAGTGCCACAGAAGGAAGTGTGTAGGGGGGGTTCTGGAGATGATGGGGACATTTGCTTCAGAATTGCACTCCAGGCCTGAAAAAAACCACCAAACAACATAATAACACTTAATTAGGGTTTGCAGAAGGAAGAGACTATTACAAGCAGTGAAATTTACTGAAGAGCAAGGAGCAATGGAGTCACTCACTTCTAAATTGTACAGACCATTGATTTTACATATATTCTGCTTTTTCCCTTTTTCTTATATATGGCATGATATTCTGATTTATGTCATGGAACTTAAAGGCCTTAGCTAACTACAAAAGCCCAGTTTACTTATCTGAATCCTAACTAGTTCTTTGTATATTATGACAAAGAAATTTCACAGCTTAAGAACTGTATTTAAAAAGCAAGTCAACAACTTTTTTTGCATTATGTCTCATTTCCAGCTTTCCAATTTCATAAACCCTTGTTTCTGTTTTATGAGACATCTTTAATGGAGATTTCCAGATTAATTTCTCTATGTTGCTACTGATTTTGAACATTTCATCCAGGATGTTCTGTAAGACAATAATGAAGGGAAGTTTGAAGCGCTTAATATTTATAATAGATTTGCTATGAACTTGGTTCTCATTTGAATAAATGGATTGTGCCATATTTTCATTGATCTTTTTAATGAAATAGAATTTAGGACATTTTTTAATACCTCCACAACATGGAAAGCTTTATTCTCCAAAAGCCTCTGTTCATAATTCCTACTGAACCTTTACTGAGGCTGGATGACAAGTACAAGGTACAGCACTGGAGGTATAAATGACCCTTTGAAATTACTCACTTTGTTTTCGGTCTCATTCTTATTTATTACTGAGCTGATCTTTGCTCTCCTAGCAAGGGAAGATAGAGTTCCTTAAATCATGCCTATTGCAGTAGTGGAGCTTTACAGTAAAAGCCACTGGACTGCCAGAATTTTCTAGGTAACAGAGGACAAGGGCACAAATTCTATCTGCTCAATGCCTCAACTTTCACAGACAGGCTGACTTTAAAACTTTCTAGCAGTCAAATGTTACATTATAAATTGAAATATGTGTGTGCATTTCTAAAGGGTTAGTGACTAGCCGTGTACTTGAAATGATGAGGTTATGGTGTGGTTTCCCTTTCGTGGTGTTATGGCTTTTAAGGTTTATTTGTCTTACCATTTCAAAGTCATTCAGGTCTGTAGAAAGATAGAAGAAGGATGGGATCCTACACACGGAATCAAAACGTGTAGGGTACTATTTCTCGTATTAAGTTTTAGTTCTGCTGGAATTTTGATTGTGTATGAGAGGTATTGGTAACCTTTACCCTTCTTGCCATTAGGATTCATTTAACCTTCTTGTCTTTACATGCAGTGACAAGCAAGAGTTTTAAATCAGACCAGTTGCGTGTTAGCCCTGTAATCAGGGAGAGACTTTCACAGCAGCCCACTGCTGGGCTCAGGTCACAGTCTGGAGAGTTGCCAGTGAATACCCATGTGCCTGACATGTGAATCAAATTACCTCCTACAAGCAGCGTCCAGAGAGAGACTTATCTTATTAATTATACATGGAAATTGAGATCCAGCAACATCTGACGAGGTCCTGTATTTCAAGCCTTGGTTTTCTGATGCTGTCAGCAGCAGATCAACAATCTAATTAAAATGGTCATCAAAGCAGATCTGAAATACATTAAATGGTTCCCATTAATGTCATATTTAATTTAGTGGCTCAGTATTGAAGATGTTCATTACTGTCCTTTGCTTGATTTTGAACTTCTGGGAAAGTTTTATAAATGATATTTACATCTCTAGAAACATAAACACTCTGTTTGCATATCTGACATTTCTTCTGTCTTTTCATTCCCAGTTTTTTTGCATCTGGGTTGCCAGCTACCCCTTGGTTGCTTCTTCAGAACACCCTGAGAAACTTAGAAAGGGTGGGGGAATTGCAACCAGGGGGAATGGCACAAGCTTTTTTTGCTGTTTGTTCTGCCTGTCCTTCACAGCAGGCTTTTAGTCTAATTGTACAACTGAGTTGAGTTTAGTGATAAGACCCGAGGGAATGGCCTGAAGTTGTGTCAGGGGAGGGTTAGGCTGGATATCGGGGGAAGGTTCTTCACCCAGGGGGTGTCTGGGCACGGGAACGGGCTCCTCAGGGAAGAGCTCACAGCACCAAGGCTGACAGGAGCTCAAGAAGTGTTTGGACAATTCTCTCAGGACATGGTGTGACTCTTGAGGATGGTGCTGTGCAGAGCTGGGGGTTGGACTCGATGTTCCTTGAGGGTCCCTTCCAATTCAGTGTATTCTGTAATCCTGTGATTCACTGACATGATGGGATGGCTGGACCTTCCCATTGACCATCAGTGCTCCTTCTGACTGCTGTGGGCTAAAACTCACTGGGTACTGTGAGTAAGGAAGACTGAGTTGCAATCTTAGATAGAAATCACCTGTTAGAGATCAGATGAGATGTGAAAGTCTAAAAGTCAAGTTCTGTAGAATTACTTCACCATTCCTTCTTGTGACATAGTCAGGAATGTAAAAGGTATCTGTCACTAAAACCCCCCACACACAGAGAAGAAGAAGAAAGAAAAGAAGTTATTCTGAGAGGGTGTGTTTACCTCTTTTTTAGTCTTTTACAGATGGTTTTGTTTGTGTCTAAAAGCAGATTTGTGTAAGAGAATGGAGGAAAAAGCAAACCTAGTTATGAAAAAAATTATCTAAACTGCAGTTGTGTAATTGTATGCTGCCTATGTATACATGCCTTATTCTAAAATAGTGTCTTCCAAGGAACATGTGGAAGCTTTACACTATTGATCTCAGATAAGAAGTCACACTTTTTTGTCTAATAAAACTGCAAC